CGGGCCCCGGGTGCCCGGGGGGGGGGGGGACAGCGAGAGAAAAGGGACAAAGGGAGCCCACCATAAGACCAGCCGCGGGTCTGTGATCGCCAGAGTCTTTGTTTAGAGCTGGCTTAAACAAGCTGGGAACCTTTGGAAGGGGAGGCCATAAACTGAAGCGAAAATAAAAGTGTTGACAGCGAGGGACAGCGAGGTGCCGGGGCCAGCGGGGCAGCCGTGGAGGAGCGCCGCGCGCAGGCTGCCTTGCTCGGCCTGCTGGCGGCCCGCGCATCACGGGCTCCACGCCGACGGCGGGACGGGATGGGGGGGGAGGGGTGCCGCCCCCACCGGCCCGCACTCCAGGCGGGGGGCGGGGCGGAGGAGAGGGCGGGGTGCCAGGCCCCTGCGACATCTAGAGACTCATCGCCGGGGGCCGGGCCTCAGAGTCAGCTTTTCCACCCCTCTAGGAATTCCTTCATGATGGACTTGAGGGGTTACACTAATAAGAGGGTTGAAGGGCAGTTGTTTCTGGAACAAATGCCTCTCAGGCCCAACTTATCAGCCTGGAAAAGGTGTCGGGAGGCAGGTTTCACCGGAGGGAACAACATTCCTCAGGGGAGCTCCATGCAGCTGTGGGTGGTGAGGTGCAGGTGTTTGTGAAGGTGAGGCGCAAGGCGGATGTGCCTGACCGTCCGGAGGACCTCAGCCCTGACATGTTTTTGTGGACCCTCCATCCACTCAACACACATAACCATCACCTGTCGTAGGCCGGGCAACCGGGCAGGGGCTCGCCAGGAAATTGTGTACATTTATACACTCCTGCTTTTTAAAAGATTAATTCTCCCCAAGGACCCATGTAACGGGATACTTTTGGAGAATGGCAGTACCAAAGAAAGCTAAGGCGATTCTTGGAAGTATACTGGGCTGAGGTCAGAGGGCATCATTTGTTGTCTGTGCTCAGAGGGAAAGACTGACAGACTTTTTTTGCAAAAAGTCACACTGAGGTCACCTTCCTACTAATAAGGAAAATAAGTAATCAGAGGCACCTGGGCAATGCGTCAGGTTTGTTTGTTTGTTTGTTTGTTTGTTTTTCCCACCCGTAAAATTTTGTGCTGACTCTAGCTGGCAACATGTGTGGAGGTGGTGCTAAGCTGGGTCCTCCAAATGCAGTGCCCAGATGGAGAGAGCCCTCAGATGGAGACTGGGGTGGGGGGGTGGATGCCACCACCAAGAAAATGTGAAGGCAGTCAGCTCTCCCACTCAGGAGATCTTAAGAAAAGTGAGTCCGTGGGGATCCTGTGCCCTCGGTCCTGAAAAAGCAGTGCTTTGGGCAGGGGGAGAACAGGGCAGGGAACGGGTGTGGGCTTTGCAGTTAGACAGTTGGTTTTTGAACCCCACCTCCTCAGTGTAGTAATTGGACAAATGGCAACATCTCCAAGCCTCTGTTTTCTCATCTGTAAAATGAGGATAATAATATCCCCCCCTCCGCCCAGAGACTTGGTACGAGGATTACGTGAGACGGCATAGGTGGAGCTCCTGGCGTCACTTCTCCTTCCCTCCCTCCCTTCCCTCTTCCCAGTGAAGCAAAATTTAGTATCTCCCCCCCTCCCAAAATTCTGAAAAATGAAAAATTATAATAGCAGAAGTACCAAAAAAAAAAAAAAGATGAGTTCTCCTTGTTCGAAACATCTCGAAATCCTTCACCAGTGACACGCACTTTCACTGTCCATATATCCTGAACGACATTGGTTTAGGACTTTCAGTTCATTCATGTAGTACCTACCGTGTGCTAGGACTGGACTAGGCAATGGAGATACAGAAATGAATGGCATGGTCCTTAGCCACAAGGCAAATAACACAGGAGCAGATAATTTCAAAGGCACAAAGGACTGGGGGGAAATACAGCAGAGCCCTGCTTTGCCTTGCTTGGGGGTGGGGTTGGGAAGAATGTGGTTCCTGGTTAGGTAAATCTGGAGAAAGTGATAATTTCTCTAGAAAATAAGTCTCTAAAATTTCAAGATATGTCAACCAAAGATCAATAAAAGTAATTGAGAAATAATTAGTGGTAGATTCAATGATTATTTCAATAAGAATTATTTGAATAAGAAGTTCTCCTGACAAACATTCATGGGGTGTCTATTTGCAAAACTGCACAGATATGAAGATACAATGCATGAAAATGAGCAAAAAGAAACTGGAGTTCTAACAAGTAAAAAACTGACTCTACTCAAAGCAGCTGATGCTATGCTGGGAGCACATCAAAAGCACGATGAGAATACGTGGCTTTTCATTTCCAAAGCACCAGCTTTTGAGCCACTAAATTATTTTAGAGACCATCCTCCTCCACAGGTCAGTGTTCCTTTCCTGACCACTTTCCTGACCACCTTCATGGTCCCAGCTCTGGGGCCTCTGAGTCAGTGCCGTCACCCCATCATTCAGTGTGCCTTAAGCATCACAGGACACACACATCAACAGGGATCAAGTATGGAAAGTGACTTAAGTGCTGAATGATGTGAGAAGCACAGAAATTCCAGGGGATTCGGAGAAGGAGAGCTCAGGGGAATCACAAGGGCATGGAGAGTGAGGTGGTGGTCTGGGGTGTAGTGTGTGGGAGGGACAGGAGAGAGGCAGGCAGGCTGCAGTGGGGAAAGGACTGTTTGCAGGGGATGAAAGGCTACTGGCAAATGGGGAAGCTGGGCATGGAGTCTGGATTCGATGAGGGGGGCAGTGGGGAGCCACGGCTGCTGTAGGAGTAGCAGAGGGTCAGCAGCACGAACTCTGGAACAAATAGCCAAATGCGAACCTTGGTTCGGCCACTTCCTGGCTGTGTGATCTTGGGGTGTTACGTGGCCTTGCCATGTCTTAGTTTCTCCATCTATAACATGGTCCCTTAGTGGCAGCTCTGTGGTGAGACCAGTGAGTGCTCAGCACTCTGTGGGTCGGTAACCGGGTGCAGTTATGGAAGTGCTGGTGGGAGAACAACACAGGGACCAGAGGCAGGAAGTGCCAGGAGTCTAAGACTTTTAAAATTCAGTCTAAATTATATGACATGCCATTTGCTTGCTTCATATCAACTTTTAAGTCATGCGTAGCTGGTAACTGTATGTCTGCTCGGCTGCTGTAACAAAGTACCACGGACTGGGTGGCCTAAACCACAGACGTATATCTTCTCACAGTTCTGGAGCTGGGAATGCTGAGATTAAATTATCAGCAATTCTGTTCTCAGAAGGCCTCTCTCCTTGGCGTGTAGACGGCCGTCTTCCTGCTGCATCTCACACGGTCTTTTCTCTGTTCCTGTCTGTGTCCTCATCTGCTCTTCTTACAAGGACACCAATTACATGGGATTAGGGCCCAGGCCCTAATGTTAATTTTTTGTTGTTGCTGTGGTTTTCACTCTCTCTGGGGTTTCTTTTTTCTTTTCTTTTTAAACATCTTTATTGGAGTGTAATTGCTTTACATTGTTGTGTTAGCGTAATGTTAACTTAATCACCTTTTTTTTTTTTTTTTTTTTTTTGCGGTACGTGGGCCTCTCACTGTTGTGGCCTCTCCAGTTGCGGAGCACAGGCTCCGGACGTGCAGGCTCAGCGGCCATGGCTCACGGGCCCAGCTGCTCTGCGGTATGTGGGATCTTCCCGGACCAGGGCACGAACCCGCGTCCCCTGCATCGGCAGGCAGACTCTCAACCACTGCGCCACCAGGGAAGCCCCTTAATCACCTCTTTAGAGAACTTGTCTCCAAGGACAATCTCATTCTGAGATACTGGGGTTAGGACTTCAACGTATGAATTTAGGGGGGACACAACTCAGCTCCATAATTCAGAAACCATAAACTCTTCTAGGTGCATCCACTGGTGTGTGGAGATCTGGGGGCTGGGGGATTGCACTGCGGGGGACTTGCCAGCTCTGTCCCTCTGCCTGGCCCTCTGATGGACAGATGCCGCCCAGTGGGCTGCTCCAACTCCAGTTCAAGTCTTGAAGCTCCCCAGGGCAGCTTTTCTGAATCTGCTTTTTTGAAAAGTTGTAACATGCACATCCCAGCTGCAGTCACACCAGCAGCCTCAAAAAAAGAAATAAAGAAAAAAGAAAAGGGAGAGAAGGAAAAAGAAAAGAGGGAAGTGATTGGGGTTCCTTGGTCTGTTACAGCGCAAGATAAATTTGCAGAGATGCTGGAGCCTTTATCAAACCATCCTGAGTAGGAGAAAAGTTGTTTGTTTTCGTTTTGGGTTCTTGAACCATTCTAGGAGACAGATACGAAAAAAGGGGAACAGAGCAAAGACTATAGCCCCTCAGGTTTGTGAAACAGACGCTTGAGCAACTGGCCCAGGTGCGGGAGGAGCTGCGGGAAGGGGCACAGGACATGCCCTCGCAGGGGGAAGCTGTGCGAACACGGGGGAAGGTTCAGGGCCGGAGAAAGACGCTGATGCTGGCAGGGGAGGGGAGCGGAGGTGGATGGAGAAGACGAGGGAGGAGAGAGGCAGTGGGGATGGGAGGGGAGTGGGGGGGAGTGAGAGAGGAGGTGGCAGGCCCAGCTGCGAGCAGAGGGAGAAAGTTCAGTTTCTAGCAGATAAAAGCGAAACTGAACTTTTGGCATCTTCTATTCTTAAGGCAACTTTGACCTACTTTGCCTCATCTGTAATCTGCTCCTGGTATCTAAGTAATGCATATCAGCGCTGAGCTGAGATTGTTATCCAGGTATTTGAGATCTGTTATCTTGTGATTGGAAGATACTAGATGGGTCTCCTGTTCTCTTACCCACCTCTCCCTCCGCGCTGAATAGTGCTTGGTCATCCTGTTGGGGTCAGGCTCCATGCAGGGTCCCACGTGCCATGCCGTGCTTGGAAGGTGGCTTCCCACAGGGAAGCACATGGACCACCCTGCTGTTCTGTCTAAACTCCTGGGGTTTTATAAAGAGGTCTTCCTCAGTCATTTGTACGGCTGCATAGCTTAAAAGTACCACGTTTTATTCAACCAATCCTCTCCTGGTGGTCATTTGGGTTCTTTTTAGAGTTTTGTTACTGCAAGTAGTGCACATATTTTTTCCTGTTTTTGCCAGTGTACATTTGGGCGATCCCTTCATAGAAGGGGAATTGCTGGGTGAAAGAGTAAAGGCATAGATAACTTTTCTAGACATCGCCCAGGTACCCTCCCACTATAAATGTATGAGAGGCATTTCCTCACAGCCTGACTAACATTGTATATTGTCAAACTACTGCATTTTTGCCAAACTGCCAGCAGAAAAACTATATCAGCGTGATTTTACTTTGGGTTTCTCTCGATACGAACGACGTGGAGGACTTTGTCATGACTGAGGGCCCCTTACAGTTCTTGTCTTGTGAACCATGTTCTAGTTTCTCATCCATTTTTCCATAGGTTTCTTGACCTTTAAAACCCTCTGTGATGTGATGCAAATGTTTTTCCTAATTTGTCTTTTGTCTTTTTACTTTGTAACAGGGCTCTATGCCATGTATAAAATATTTCCTTGTTGTTCTTTTATTTAAGCAAATTTATTAACTCCTTCTTAATTCTGATTTTGAAAACATAGTTAGGGAACATTCCCCCATTTCTGGTTTATGGATTTGAGCTGTCCCCTTTATTGTATACTAAATTCTCATGTGCAGTTGGGTCAACTTCTGGACTTTCTTTTCTGGTCCATCTGTCTGCCT